ACCACAAATACAACCATATACATGCAAGTCCCAATTACCCTACACAATTTTTTAAAAAGATGATTATAAAGAAATTTAGTATGTTCAAAAAGATATGGACTCAAGAGTTGGTAAAGTGCTTATCTTATAAACATGAGGGCCTGTTGATTCCCAGCACCCAAGTAAAAGATCATGAATGGTGGCGGCTCATGTTGGTAAACCCAGTGCTGAGGAGGCAGAAAAAAGTGGGTCCCTGAGGTTTCTTGAAGAGTCAGTCTGGCCTAAAGGGTGAACCCCAGGTCCCAATGAAAAACAAAGTGAATGGATGGACCATAAGAATTGGCACCCAAGATTGAGTGATGGCCTCTACACACATATGTTCACACGCACACACATGCAGAAGTGTACAGATAACAAATTGTAAAAGAAAGTAAGGAACATGGGATAAATTCAAATAAATCACAGAAAGAAAAAAGAAACTGAGATCAGGAGATGAGTGGTGGTATCAGTGACAATGAAGACAATTCAAATACATACCATTTGAAATTACAGGGAAAAGACTAGGATAAATGGAGTATTTAAGAAATAGTAGTCAAAACATTTCTACATTTAATTTTTAAAAATCTAAGCAAAATCATCTCAAAGAAAATCATCCAAGATACACACACCATAATCAAATTACTAAAAACCCAGTAAAAGATCTCCCCCAACCCTTTTGAAACAATGGTCACACTGTATAGAGCAGGTATGCTTGAAACTCGGTAGGTACTTCAAGCAGACATCAAACTCAGCAATTTTCCTACCTCAGAACCCTGAGATCTGGGATTACAGGTGTGTATCACCATAACTTTCTTTTTAAGTCTTATAGAAGCTGGAGTGATGGCTGGCTCTTGCAGAGAACCTGGGAACCAAACCCCACATGGCATCTTAAAACAATTCACAAGTTAGTTCCAGAGGATCTGGTACTCTCTTCTGGCCTCCCTCAGCATCAGGCACACATGCAGTGTATTTACATATCCACAGGTGAAACACTCATACACATAAAATTAAAATAAATAAATAAATCTTTTAAAACAAAAGTCTTAGGAAGAGGAGGAAGAGGAAGAGAAGGAGAAGAAGAAAAGTTGCAATATAAAAGTACAGCCAAGTGGTGGTGCACGCGTTTAATTCCAGCACTGAGGGAGCAGGGGAGACAGAGACAGGTAGATCTCTGAGTTTCAAGTCAGTCTGGTCTACAGAGTAAGCTCTAGGTTAGCCAGGGCTATGCACAAAGACCCTGTCTAAAACAAACAAACAAAAATAGGCTTTTGGTCAGAAACTACACAAATTATTCCTGTAACCACTAAATAGTCATATGTATCCAACAATAAAGCTTCAAAATACATAAGCCAAGAAGTGAATGAGAAACATATCCATTTATTATATCCAATTACTGTATCTATCAGAATGTCGGGATGTATGTTTGAAGTGTTAAAGAACACTCAAGTAACTTGACCTAATTATCACTTTTAGAAACCTCTACTCAGACACATCTTTCTAAGCACACATGAAAATATTCATCAACACAGTCCATTTTCTATGCCTTCTCATAAATGTCAAAATGTTCAAATGAATTATGTCATACAATGCATGTCTTGGAACACAAGAGAATTAGAGTCCTGTAAAAGAAATATATCTGGAAATTTATGTAAATATTTGGAAATTAGGGTAAATCACAGAAAAAAGCTCACAATGGAAATGTTGTAACTTACAATTCAAAGTAAATAACTATGTGACACAAGGAAGACTATGAAAACAAACAAGATTAAATATGTGTTCATACACAAGCATGCTCTGTCCTTCTCAATGCCTGCTTATTCTTAGGCCTACACTGAAACCTTTTCATGGGCTAGAGAGGTGGATGGGCAGTAGAGCGGCTGCCTAACATGAGCAAGGGGCTAGGTTTAATCTCCAAAACTATAAAATAATCATTTCTCAAAAAACTCTTAACTTTCTTTTAATTAAAAAAAAAACGAGAATTTGAATTCTTTATAAACATTTCCAGAAAGAAAATAAGACCTGCATTAACCTACTACAAAAACAAAGAATAGGAGCTGGAAGGATGGCTCAGGAGCTAAGTACTTGCTCTGAAATCATGAGGACTGGCATTCGAAACCTAGTATCCATGTAGCAAGGCCAGCAGCTATCAGGTAGTAAAAAGTAGGATTCCTGAAGCTTGCTGTCTTCTCAAACTAGTCATAGATTCAGGGAAGAGATTCTGCCTCAAATGAATAAATATAAACTGACAGAGGCGGCCATCTGATAGCCTCTACTAGCCTCTGCTTAGGCACACTGGTGTGCACAACCACAACCACATACACATATACATACATGTGCACACACAAAGAAAGACACAGACTAACACACACATGCATATAAAACTTTGAAAAAAATATTTTTAAAAATCTCTACAGACCAAAGTCTTTTATAAACACAAAAGAAAAAAAGGTTAACAAAATTTTAAGAAAATAACCCAGTAATACACAAAGATAACCAAAAACTCATGATTAGTTGTTTCAATTTGTTACAATTAATGTACCTGACAATCACATTGAGACATTTAAAAAAATATCGCAATAAACTAAGAACCAGTTAACAAAACTCTACCACCCATTCACGATAAGAAAAGAACGATCAACACGGGTTGGAAAAGTGGCTGAATGTGCTCTACCTATCATCAGGAATTACAAAATCTTACACAGGTGTCAAGTGTACATCACTGTTATTAGCAACAAACTGTTAGAAACTAACAACATTGAAAATGATTGTAAGAGATTAATGAAATAAAAAGGTATCAGACTTTTACATTGAGAAAGACTTTGAAGACTTAAATGGAAAAAGAAACCATTTGGAAGACTTAACATCATTAGAAACTCAATTCTTTGTAAGTGATTCATAGGGTAAAAACACTCAAAATCAAAATCCTATCAGCCATTCTGTAGCAACTGACAAGTTAATACTAAATCACAGAGACAAAAATGGGAAGGACCAGAGTACACAAAATGATTTTGAAACCAAATAGCAAAGCTGGGAAGTAACATTACTTTTCTGATGTTTGCTTTTGAGACAGGTTCTCACTATGCAGTCCTGGGTGTCCTGGAACTCACTCTATAGAGCAGGCTGGCCTCAAACTCACAGAGATCCACCTGCCTCTGCCTCCTGAGTGCTGGTATTAAAGGCATGTGCTACTACACCCAGTTAATATTACTTGCTTTAATAGTTACTATAAAGTTATAATAATCAAAATAGTGCAGCATTATCAAAAGAACAACATCAACAGAATAGAGCAAAACCCAGAACAGGTCCATACATAATAGTGAGGTAAACAGGGGAAAACAACAGTCTTTCAAAAGATGCTAGACAAATCTGATACACCAACCTTTATCTCTCACTATACACAAAAAAAACCTAAAAAATGATTGCAAATCTAAATATGACAGCCCAAAAATGTTCTAATGTATGAGGGGAAAATAAAACATTTTTCAAACTTCTGTCAATCCCAATAACAAACCTCTAATTTCTACTCAAAAGTAAAGCAGAATTAGAAAATTCCTAAACTGAGGCTCTCAAATTAGCATGTGCATCTTTAACGCATTTCCCATCTAATAATATTTTAGTAATTCCTAAGCAAGTCTTTATTCAAATACAACCCAGTGAACCACAGAAGTTTGCAATGAATAAGACACTCTATTCTGTAAAACCAGCCTCATGGAGGAAGCAGCAGTGCACTGACTAACTTAAACAAGACTTCAATGGTAATGGCTGAAGTCATACTCTTCAGCCATCACCAAGATAAATGGACAAAAGAATGGCTTCATTCCTACAGGGGTTCATATCTCTCTATTCTGAGCAGTTAGTGAACAAAATACATGAGAAAATTTGCATTTAAAGATTTACAACTACTCGGAGTTTACATTAAAATGAGAACTGGACTTTTATTATTATCACCCCAACGTAAGAAACTTTTAATATATAGTCGTAAGAAACTGATATGCCTATAACATAAAAACCAATTCTTTCTGCCATTTAATTATCAAAAAAAAAAAGTTAAGACTGTTAAACAGCAAAAGTATTCTCTTTAAGATAGGGTCTCATTATGTAGATAATACTGGCAAACATCTTCCAATCCTCTTCCCTCAGTTTCCCTAGTGGTAGAATTAAAATGTGTCACTATGCCTAGTAGCAAAAGGGTCCTTGAAATGTCAAAGAAAAAAAAAAAAAAACACATTTAATAAGCCTTCCCCAAGACTAATGTGACTATCTATCAGGTTCAATCCCTATTAAATGTTTCAAAATTACTTATTTTTAAATAATCTAGTATTAATATAATTTGTTTCTTCTACCTTAAATAAAAAGTGAAATACAGATAAGGTTTTACTCATGAAAACATCGGAGGACCATACATCTTACTTGCAATCAAAATAATTTAGTCCATACCTTTGTAAACATGGGCTCAGAGAAGGCAACAACTTCAAACCCACACAAAACACTGAATCCTCCAAACAGCCCCTAAAATGTGTTCTCTTTTCTTTTTCTCTCTGACCTTCATTTCTTCTGAGGCATGGTTAGACTTCCTTTGACTTCTTTCTTGAAAATCTTTCCTTAGACTATTTAATTCATGTCCTCCAACCTTATTTTCCCTTTACCTGTTTATTATCACAGGAAACTGGGAGGTTCTACTGAAGATGGATGTTCAAATGAAAATTAATATACATAACATTTTACATGAAGTATATAAGAAGAAAAGTTTAAAGTTATCTTATAAAATATAAGAAGCCTGACAATATATGTTCAATATTACACATTCCAATGAGACCTTGCAAATTTTCTCAATAAATTTAAACTAATCCCCAAGATAAACTCTACAATTATTGCCATTCAAGGTCTCAAAAATAGCCTGATTTTTAGTAAATGTTTCACTACAGTTACATTTCATAATATGGTAAAGGAAAAATATCTTACTAGACATCAACTCCTCTTACATTTGATCCTTGCAGAAAATTCTTCTTTGTTCCTTTTCCACAAGATACAATTCCTTAAGGACAAAAAGGGAAAAAGAAAGGAACTTGGTTATTATTCTTAACTCTTACAGAATTAAATGTTTTATTATTACAAAATTCTAATACTTAATACCATTCTTGGTAGATAACTCTGAAAATACTTGCTGAATGATGTAAAGTTCAATTGGCAAAAGACATTTGTTTTACTTAGCTAATAAAATGCCAGCTAATAAAGTGTGTCTAATGTCACACCCATTTTTTTTTCAGGAAATATTGCTTCAATGCTCAGTAATAACTGTAGTATGTGATTCAAAACTGGACTCTTAGGTCCTATTTTCCAGGAAACAACATTCCCCTTTGTCTTCTATAGGGGTCAAATAAATGTTCAGTTCAATATCATCAGCCAGGCCATTCCTGGCTATTACCACTCCAAATGAGTAAAAATATTACAGTTTTCCAAGTATGAACCTCTTCTATTATACTGATATGCATTTTGTGTTTGTTTTGTTTTTCAAGACTAGGTTTCTCTGTGTAACAGTCCTGGCTGTCCTGAACTCACAGAAATCTGCCTGCTTCTCCCTCCTGAGTGCTGGAATTAAAGGCATGTGCCACCACTGCCCAGCTACTGATAGGCATTTTAAGAGACCTATGTACACAACTCACTTTTTTATATCTTCAGCATCTAGTCAATATCTGGCACATAATTCAAAACATTCAGAATATATTTACTGGGACTCTAATATATTCCACACATTTTCTGAGTTCTAAGGATATATCCCTACCTTTATTTCTTACCTCAAAGAACTTAAATCCTGGTGAGAAAGTACATAACCAAGACAGATAAGGAATAAATGTGGCAGGTTAATGGAAAATCATTAATAAGAAAAACGTAGCAGGAAAGGAAGAACTGTCAGAGGGAGGGAATTGAAATTACAGACAGGACATTCAGGGAATGCCTAATACAACACTGCAACACAGTTAAGTGTTATGATAAAACAGTACACTAATTACGTGGCATATATTAACCGATAAAAGGCCAAAAAAGTCATCAGTGTCCTATTTTTATCCTCAAGAGGAAATAAAATAATAAAGAAGCAACTTTTAAAGACATACAAGTAAAGTGGTGAAACCAGGTCAACCCCAGGACAATTTCAACTGCCATGTGAAATCACATTACAATAACAAGTGAAAAATTTTAAGCCACACAATATAGGTTAACAGCATGAAGAGGAATGACACTGTGCTATACTAAGAAATAAATATGATCTCTGTTATTTCTTCCTGACTCTTAGCCCAAAGTTTCACTTCTTGGAATCTCTAGAACAGTGGTTCTCAACTTCTGAGTTGCAACCCTTTTGGGGGGGTCAAATGACCCTGTCACAGGGATCAACTCTCAGATATCCTGAATATCAGATAGTGACATCGTGATTCATAACTAGTAAAATTAGTTATGAAGTAGCAAACAGAAATAATTTTATGGTTGGAGGTCACCACAACATGAGGAACTATGCAGAAGGGTCACAGCATTAGGTTGAAAACCACTAAGCTAGAGTGATCATGATCTTTTTTGAAAATGAGACAGCTAGTGACTGGGGGGTCCCTAGATAGCTTCCGGATGTGATTGGTCACACAAACAAGACCAAATGATGATTAGAATGATCATAAAATATACTCCAATTTGATTTTCTCCCATCTTGAATGTCTGAATAAGAAAAAGGCTAAAGGGTGAGTTGGTCATCAACAGCTAAAGATGTAATAAATCATACATAAGTAATGAAACACTCTAAAAATCCAAAGACCAGCCTGCTGAATACACTGTGGGTCTGGAGGACAGCATGTCCAGAGAGCTCCCTATGCCTATCCACACACCTTGCTCTCTGCATCTCCTCTCTGACAGCCCATCTGTATACTCTGCAGTATTCTTCATAACACCTATCACAGACTAGCACCCAATTCAAATATTCAAAATCAAAAACATTTTGAGCACTGACATGATTCCAGAAGCAGAAAATTCCTCAAACATGAAAAGTATATTAAGAACAACTTGCTATCAATAAATTTGACAATTAAAAGACAATTTCTTGAAGCATAGATTATCACACAGACACCAAACAAACTATAGTAATAACCTCAAGTCTAATAAGAAGTTAAAGTCATAATCAAAAGGCTTTTACCACAGAGAAAATTCCAGGTCCAAACAGATCCAATAAATTCACTAGTGAAGTCTTTAAACATCTAAAGATTTAATAGATCTTTTATAAAATCTCTCTTAGGAAAGAAATAGAAAAAGTTCTTTAATATGTTGATGATCAGCATAAATACCTCATATAAAAATGAAGCAAAGACACGGAAGAAAAAGAAAGTATGTACTAATATTACTGATGTGTACATATACAAAGGTTCTTTAAAAAATTATCAGGCCAAATCCATCAATATATAAAAAGAAACATAATACAAGTGAGGTTTGTCTCAAGGACACAAGGTTGGTTCAGTTGCCAAAAACGTAATTCACTGAACTAACATCTAGGAAAAAATCCATTCATTTAATTTTAATGAATATATTGAAAGCTATTCATAACAAAACATCCACTCATAAAGACAGGAGTGAAAATCTCAGCAAACTAGGGATGAAGGGGTAACTTCTTCAATACAGAAAGGGCACCTATAGAAAACCTACAACTATACCATCCTTGATGGCAGAAATAGACCTCCTCTTTAAGATTAATAACAAAACAGTGATGTCCACTCTCATCATTTCTAGTCACCACTGGAAAGGGGGCAGATCCTAATCACTGCAATAGTGCAAGGAAAACATACCCAGACTGTAAAATAGCTTCTTCACACACCTAACATGACAACAAATGCAGGAAATGCTAAAAAGATTATAATAAAGTAACTAAAACTAAAAAGTGGGTCTTGCAAGAGTAGGACACAAGTCCAAAATTAATTGTATTTTTATATACTAGTAATGGAAAATACAAAATTCAAAAATTGTTTAAGATTTATTTTTATTATTCTTATATGTGTCTGCCTATAGGTATGTGCATGTAAGCAAAAGTGCCAGTAGAGGCCAGAGGCTACTGGAGCTAGAATTACAAACAGTTGTGAGCCACTGAGTATGGGGGCTGGGAACCCAACTTGGATCGTCTGCAAAAACAATATGTGCTCTTAATCTCTGAGGCATCTTTCAAGGCCCAATATTTTAAATTTTAAAATGTCATTTACTTTGTCCTAAAAAGCATAATACATGTAAAGACAAATTTAATAACACATGTGCAATACTAACATGGTGAATACTAAGAAATGTTAAAAGAAGCTAAGGAAGACCTAAAATAAATGGAAATGCAGTGTTCTTTCATCTGAACACTCAATACTCTTATGATACAGTCTCCCCAAATTACCTACAGATTTGGGATAATTGCAGTCAAAATTCCAGCAAACATTCTTATAAAAAAAACTGACATGGGCAGGGAGGTGGTACCTTTTCTACAGAGTGAGTTCCGGGGGGGGGAGGGGGGGGACACCTTTAATCACAGCACTTAGGAGGCAGCAGCAATTTCTGTGAGGTCAAGGTCAGCAAAGGTGACAAAGGGATACCTCAACTCAGAAACAAAAAATGGAAACAACCGGCATGGCAATTCAAAACTGATAATATAAATGCTACGGCTTGAATACAGAATGTCCCCAACAGGTGCATGTGTTTGAACAGTTGGCCCCCAGTTGGTGGTGCTGTTTCAGGAGGTTCTGGAACATTTGAAAAGTAAGGCCTAACTGCTGGAAGGGGGTAGCTGGGCGCTGGGTTTGGAGGCTTATAGTCACACTTCTGCTCCATCTCTCCTTCCGTATCTCCCCAGAAGTGAGCAAGCAGACCTATACTCTTAGCACCACAGCTAAGAATCACTCTGGCTACCACACCTTCCATGCCAGTGAACCAAAAGCCATGAGCCAAAACAAATCCTTCCTCCCCTCTGTTGATTTTGCCAGTTACTGGGTCAGAGTTAAAAATAACACAACCACTAACACAATTCTATGAATAATCAAATATAGGAGGACTTAGTCTACCTGATTTTAAGACAATGTAATACAGTGCACCCTTGTAATTAAACACCCCACAAACAAATCAGTTGAAAATAGTGAATACAGTGCACACTCTCTGCCTCTCCACTCCTCTCTCCCCACCACCATCTTCAACAGACATACCAAATAAAAGTCTCAGCAACAAATGATAGACAAACACACAGTGACATTAATTGCCATTTACAAACACTGACTCAAAATAAATCAAAATAAACACAGGACAAAAATTCAACTAAATAGGAGCCAATGAGATGACTTATCAGGTAAAGGCTTTTTCCCATCAAGCCAGACAACCTGAGTTCAATAATCAGAAACAACAAGGTAGAAGGAGAGAAGAACTCTTGCAGATTGCACATTGATCTGCTGAGTGCATGCGTATGTGTAAGGAAAAATAAAAATTAAAACAGTATATATTTCACAAACCTTAATTTTTTCTTAATTCTGCTAAAAGGCACAGGTTTGTAAACAGTTACAAAAAATGAGATACCTTTTGAAAACACTTGACAAAGATTAAGTTAACCAAAATTGAAACCTGTTCTTTGAAAGAAATCATTAAGAGATTAAAATAAAATCCATGATACAATGGAGACAATTCAAAAAGGCTTTTTATCAGGAACTGTCCTAGTTTCTTATTTGAATTTGTTGTTTGATATAAGACAGTGCCTCACCATGTGGCCCAGGCGAGCCTTGAATTGGCAATCCAATATCTCAGTATCCAGAGCACAGGGATTACAGGTGTATCAAGCCCAGTCTATCATGAAAATATAAAGACTTCTTATATAAAAACACAAAGAAACCAATTTAAAATAGGCAAAAGATTCATTTCACCAAAAATATGAAGTCAGTAAGTAAATGAAAAATGTTAAATATTAATAAAAGTCATTAAGGATGTGCAGCTTAAAGTTATAACACGATACATGGGTATATGTATCATGCTTTGAAGGCAGACAATACAACA